ACTTAATATTTGGACTGATTACATACTGTGTATGTTTGTAAAGATTTTCAAGAGACATTCAGCAAGCCTTGTGTCTCCTGAAAATTAAAAAAAAAATTAAGAAACTTGAGTTTGAGAAAAACTGATTATTAACGAGCACTAGTATGGAACCTATACATCTTTCATTAAATTTTCAACATAAATAACTGAATTCTTCATACTACCGGTAATGCAGTTAATTAATCTTTGCTTATTTTCAAGCAGGAGAATTATAACATTTTATCCTTTACAAGTATCTTACATTCAGGAAAGAGATGCAGGTTTGTTTTCCCCCTTCTGGGCTAGAATAGATTTTTCAGAGAATAATCTCATGATGCAACTAATTTGTGTAAAATAAAATGTCACGTACTGCTCAGCTGAAGACCGGAAATAAACCACACCATTTAGATTTACTGAAGAGGATAGGAACAAAAAAACTAAAAAGAGGTTTCCGTTCAGATAAAATTACCCGCAATAATGAAAGCATTGTGTCAATTGGTTATTCTTTTGTTGTGTGTGGCTTTAAGAGTGGATTCCCCATGTTTGCAAAGAAAACCTATAGCAAACAGTCAGTAAATGGTTATGTGGAATCATTCGGTTTCAATTCTTCGACAAGTGTTTGCTGGTCTTGTAGCCTCTATTAAATCTTCTTAATCTTGTAGGCTCGGAAATTTGATTATTGGTGGCTAGAAACATCTTCACCAGTAAAGAAAATATAGATTTAAAGGTCCATATTTCATTTCCTTTAAATTGATAATGCTGAGTCAATCACCAAGTCTCCACAAATAAAGCATGGGTATTTATGATTAGTTTCCTCAATTAAGATCATTTATACTGTATGAAAAAGTAAGATCGCAAGAAGGCCAAGAACTTAGTACCTGTAACAATCGAGTAATAATTTTTAAAAAAAAAAAAAGCTACAGTAGATCACCAAATTTTCGCAACACATTATTTTTGCAAGATAGTTATTTGCTATTTATAAGCGAGACAAAATTTTCACAATTTCTGGTTATTGTTGTATGTAAATCTTAAATAAAAGTAATGTAAGCAAGAATGAAATTTTCGCAAGCAGACAGTCTCTTAATCACACAAAAAAGTTGGTTAGAAGATGATTTACAGTATCATAAATGGATAAGGCTTCTTGAATAATAATATACATTGCTGCAAATAACTTTTGAGATTAACTTTTGTGTGATATTTGAAGTGAAAAGGAATGCAGAAAATACTTTAGATCTTTGTAGGTTCCATAAAATGGGTCTTGGTCCATTGAGGTCTTATGTCTTGTTGCTTTATGAGATACAGGGTGACATGATGTATTGTTTTAGGGTAAAGTGTTTTTAACCACAAGTTAAAGGAATTCTTCAGAATGCAGTTGTTAATGGTGGGGAATGGCTTGACATGACAGGGGGGCGATATTTGCCATTAATAATGATTTGGCCTCAGTAGTCCTGTGTGCTTTTTATACACTGACTGACAGATGGACAGCCTGGGACATAGCTAACTGATTTAAGTGACAGTTATGACTGAAAATGAAGTAATGACCATTCACTGGACAAACATAGCTGACCTCATCACAGTCCGAGTTCTGTTGGAACACCTGCATTAGATGTACATTGCTTCTATTAGTTCCTTTTATCCATATTTGTCTTTGAAAGAACTACAAACTTTTTTATATGTAAGTTTACTTAGAAAATCAGAATATACTGTTGTACTTCATTTACTGCAATTCTTGTCAGAAAATAATAGCTGGCACACTTAAGGTTTCATTTCAACTTCTGATACAGGGAAAAGGAATTACTTGCTTCATAAAACTCCCATTTGCCTTGTATCTCCAATATGAATTTGATATATGAATATTAGAAAATACCATACATTTTATTTCACCCATAAAATTATTTGTCCAGTATGCTATTAAAAGAGATAAAAAGTATATTTGGTATCATTCTTCAAAAAAGGAATCGTAGGAAATGAAACCAAGAATGTTCTAGTGACCACAGACCTCAATAGTTAAATTTTACATAAAACTGCCACCAAGTAGTGTCTTAATGTCAGGAGATCAATTTATCAGAGTTATCTAGAGTTATCTACCTTGTAAGAATCCCAGTTATTTAGGATCAGTGAGGAAGTTTTGAAATGATTGAGAATTAGTAAATGTTTTTGCATTTTGTTATTATTTACTCTTCCACTACATAATGAATTAATGATTGCAGTCAATTTGGAAGGACATACATACAGTATAAACCCCATTATTTCATTCAAAAAATCTTGAAATTTCAGTAGAGTTAATTGATATACAGTTGAACTTCGGTATCTCAAACATGGATATCTCGAATACCATGGATATGATGAAGTGATTGGGAAGTCCTAACCATGTATTTCTTAAATATTTTCCCCTCGATATCTCGAACCCTTAAATATCTTGAAGTTTCTTCTCTGTCCCATCGAGTTCGAGATAACGTGGTTTGACTGTATTTAAACCATGATGAACGTATACTTAGACTAATAATTTTCTTTCATTCTCCCTTTTAAGAAATCGGAGCATGTATCTTGTTTACATCAACATGCAGATTCAATTTGAAATTTTGTATAGTGGTTGCACAAACATTGAAGATCTTTATTGTCTTGTGCTATGAATAATTATCTATGTGTTAGGGACTATAGGAACCATGGTAGCTTTCCCAACCCTTTTTATGGAACACATGTAGGGCAAGACCTTTGGAAATCTAATGCAGAATCGGAAGGGGTAAATATAACAAAGTACCGGTAGCAAGTTCCCTATGACTAGGTTATGACTAAGAATATGATATGACCTTGAATCATGTTCAAGGTCCTGGTACAGGAATGGAAAGTTTAAGATGCATGTCCAGTTCACAAAATTGTAATGTGAAGATCTATGTGTCAATTCACTCTGAGCACAAAGGTTTGTGTATTTTGTTTTGTCAAAATACAGTCATAGATTCATGCTTGGTCAAAGGCTTTTGCAGTATAACTTTTACCTGGCCAGATTGTTGAAGGGGTCAGTTGAGAAGGTCAAGTTCAGAGTCATAACCATAAATTTTTAATGTACGTCTTTAAATAATAGGTCACAGAAGTTATTAGTGATTGATTAAGGTCATTTTGAAAGGTTAAGATCAGTTAGATATAGATAGAAAAGTCTTGTCTAGATTAAAACTTTGCAGTGCAGGGATTTGAAGCATTTGATATACAGCATATCAATTTGCAGTCAACCAGGAGTAAAGATTGTTTATAGTCAATGTGTAAGGATGAGTGGTTAAGTTCTGCAATATTTCATACACACCCCATTTAAAGTTTACCTCATTAGGGAGGGTAGTGAGGGTTATTCAAGTTCTTAAGCCCTGGTATGTATTGCATTGTGATGGTAGGTGTGCATCCTATGCCCTGTTCATACAGAGAGTTGAATTCAAATTAAACATAAGTTACTGCCAATCAAATTTGAACCACATTCGCATGGAGAATTTAATGCGAATTTGTTTAATTTGAATTAATTTACTGCGCATCAAATGTCAATGACATTATGTCAGATGTATTATCTGATCTGCTTAAGGTGACATGATTTGCAAATGACATCATAATAGCCTGACTGTAGAAATAAAATGTTGATATCCATAAGCTTACTTCGCATTGTCGTGTGAACATACTTTAATTGGCATAAGTATAATTCGCACATTTTACTTTGCATTAATTTACTGCATGTTAAATATTTAATACATATTCATGTCAACAGGGCGCTAGACTTGGATACATTTTATTTTCTGCTGGTGAAACGGTCATCTGTATAACTGCAATGATATTTATCTATTAATTCTTCCCTCAGCACAGTGACTACAGCTAATTACTGCACATAAATACAGTCAATTACTGCACATGTATTGAAGATTATGCAACTGATTTTGGAGAGATCGGTTATCTCTTTGCAGCAACGCATGTCCTACCAAACTTCTGTCCCTCGTGTTCATTGTTCACAAACACGGATCTAGTGAATTTACAGATTTGATGATTTTTTAACAATTCCTTGTAAAATAAATTTGGATATAACAATTTTATGGATATAGTGAATTGATTTTGTGTCCCATAGAAGTTAAAATATACATCTTTTACCATGAATTTTTTAAGATCACAAAATTGTAAGTATTGAACTGACATTATTTTTCATAAATATTTACGTTTGAAATTAGATTTATCTGAAATTTTTCAGTTCTCCAAAATAATTTTTGTATTTAATACCTGAGTTCCCTGAACATATTAATACTTAAAAGAAGACGTGTGTGTATTGTGAATTTGCTATAGATAATTAAACGAACTGGTTGCATTGATATTACAATTACAAATATAGCAAAGTCAATTCACAGGTCCCCAGGTCTTCACTATCACCAAATTTTACTGTAAATACTTTTAAAAAGAATTCACAAAATATACATTGAGTTAAATATATTTAGTGTTTAAGAGGAAGGTAATAGACTCTCACTTTTAAAATAATAAGTATGCATTAAGGTTAATTAGGGTACATCTGATACACTGGCTGAGAATCAGAATAAAAACTTGGAAATTAACATTTTTTGTTCTGATTTTGCTCTGATTTATGACGTCTTAATACGTAATATAAAATTAAAACTGCAATTCCCAGAATAATTTCATTTCATATAAATTAAATTAATGAAGATTAAATTTCAGATTTCTATCTTCTTTCTTTTATAAACCTTCTTTTTTTTCAATTTTATCATAATTGCATGTTATAATGTCCTCTTTTCAAACATAAAAAAATTGTTATCAAAAATCTTTTTGAATTTTGATATGCAAATTGATATACTCTTCATAAAAGTCTTTCTTTTTTTTTCTCCTTTAAATCATATAATATCCCCACCATAAAGAAGATTGCACGAAATCAGCCAGACAAAATTAAGGGGGGAAAGTCACTTATAACATCATCAAAATTTACATTTGGAGCAGAAAACATTTGGATGCCATGCAGGGGTGACTAGGATCAAGTTTCAAATCATGTAAGCAGAAACCTAAGATAGTGACTATGAATCGCTTCCATTCACAAGAAAAATGTTAACGTTCAACTTTGGTATTTCCTGCAAAGAAGGCATGTAAAGGGATTCCTATTAAAGCGGGACCCATTTACGTGAGGTTTTTTTTGTGTATAGTGTGTCTATTCAAAAATGAGTTTGAATGCATTGTGGAGCGAATATGCTTGAGTGAACCTGTGAAGTGTTGGTGTTATACCAGGTATAGTGAAGCACACCGTATAGCCCTGAGGCAACACAGACAGAAAAAAGGTGGGATGGTTTGGTTAACGCTACTGAGCCTATAGATAGTGTATACACACATGCAGAAGGGGGTTCCCAGAGGCAGATGGTGACTGAGGATATAGTTTACAGGAGTTGGCATGCATTGTGGGGGATTTATTTTTCTGTGAATGACTGCCATAGTGGTGTATTCCGATCTACATACTGATTGTCTGTTTTGGTGTTGAAAGCACGTGTGTCTGTTATGAACGGGAGTTAAATGTCTGACCCCAAATTTCTCTCAGCAGTATAGTTGGAATAGATTATTGCTATTATTAACATTCACGCAGGAAAAAAACTGTGTTAACTTGGATGAATTTATTTTCAAAAATCAGTGCCTTCTGTGCAGAATGTGTTGTCTGTAATATGTAAGTATATATACCTATCCTGATATACATGTCTGAATGACCATGCATGTCTTATATGAAGCTATGAATGAAATTGATAAGGGCATGGAGATGCAGTTCTCATCTACAAACATTCTTGCCATAGCGGACATAATACTAGGTATCAATAAGCATGGCCAACTGGGCACCATTTGGGTCCAGACACAATGCTGATCACTTGTTGAGAGATGTTGTAAGCTGCAGATAATTCAGTCAATTACTGCAGATCATTATGTGGTCAGTTATCTGTTAACTTCTGACATAAAGTATGGCACTCTCTTATTTTTTATACAAGCAAAAGATGAAGAAGAGAAATTGAGGAGATAATAATGTCTGTCAAAAATTTGTTGTTGATGTGTGATAATATGTGATGTAATGGTATAAATCTGTGAATCTCTATCCAAGGATAGGGAGGTATTTCTGGAATGAGAGGTGATGTCCAGGTTTGATTTACCTTTTTATAGTACCTATCATCGTTTGGCCTAGGGTCACAAGTGCTGAGTATTTTACTATTAACTTAGCATTGTCATTTCCTCAAAACTTTGGAAGTATGTCCATTTCAAATTCAGGATATATCAGAGATATATTTTATGTTTTCAGTAAGAGTCGAGAAATTTCAGCAGTTAATTAGAATATACATGTAATGTGTTTTTACAATCCCGAGTTGAATGTACTTAATACAATGCTCTGACATCCCCTGCTAACTTGTCATGTATAGGCAATTGTTAATTAATATACATTTAATACTGTAGATCACCAAATTTTCGTGACACCTTATTTTCCCAAGATAGGTATTTGATATCTATAATCTAGGACAAAATTTTCACAAATTCTTGTATTGCTCTATATAACCTATATTAAAAATATACGCGAGATTGAAATTTTGAGAGCAAACTGTCTCATGTTATTAAGCAAAATTAAAGTTCTCACAAATAAAAAGTTATTTACAGTACAATTGTATTTATATTTTTTTCCTAATTAATAAAAGGCATACACATGTACACTGTCAAAATTTCTCATATTGCATTTTATAGGATTATTGATATCTCTTGTGTTGTAGACATCTGCAGAAACTAAAGGGTGAATTTTTATTGTCTGTCTAGAAGGGAGAAGTTTGAAATGTCTAATCATGAAGTCTTTGTACTGTATATTTGTAACAGTTTGATTGATAATGACATATTTTATGAAGAGCTAGATTAAGTTAATTTGTTTCTAATTAGGTCAAGTCTGGAAATTCTCTTGCGTTTTGTGTACATAGCTTATATTTGAGAGGGTATAATCAGAGATTACCAGAATTACAAGGCTATACATTGTGTAGTAAATTTTTTTTTTTTTATTTTTCAATCTTTGCAGTCAAATTTAATATGGATGTAACTTCTTTCCCACCTACATTAGCTAACATTATAAGACAAATGGTACCTAAAATATATGTCTCTTCTTTTACATATTTTATAATAGTCATGAAATTTATGCAATTTAAATTTATGGAATATTCCTCATCATCTTTGAATACAATTTTCTGAGGTTGTTGAAAAGCAAGGTCTTGTTCATGTATATTGAGGTGTTGCCAGTGTTGAATCTCAAGTGTTTCTTCACTTTTCACTTTTGGCTACAAATTTCCCTTCTCCAATGTGTAACAGCAATGTTTTAAGCCACAGGAAGTATAGAATATCTGAGAAAGGTCATACATAGACGTAAAGAAACATGTTTTTTGGCTGTATGATAAATGGATTTACTAGTGATCTTGGTGATAGGGTCGAATTTCTCTGCTAACTGTTTTATGGGGCAATGGAATGACAGCTGTTTTGTGAATGCCATTCCCAATGGTTTGGGGAAAAAGAGGAGGTCAGTTATGCACCGTAGAACGGTGATAATCTGGTAGAAGCACGCCTCTGTTTCCTCAGGAAAACCAAGTTATGAAGATTTTATTAATATCTCCTCTATGGCAGCTCGCATATCACCACCCTGCAGACTGTCAAAGTTACCTACAATCAAATAAAAGTGCAATAATTATCAGAGGTTTACAGGCAATGAATTTAATATAATAATGTTTGAAAAAAAAAAGATAAAATATTTCTTTATTGTACTTTGATTTCACAGAATCAATGACCCCCCTCCTCTCCTCCCTTCCCATTTTAAATCAATAAAGTGAGTGAATGGAGAGAATGTGTGACCAAAGACTACAGTCAAACTCCCTTATCTTGAACTCATTGGGACCGAGAAAAAAAGTGGAGATACCTGAGGACTCAAGATATCAAGGGTAAAATACTTAAAGAATAAGTGTTTTGGACTTCCAAATCACTTTGACATATCCATGGTGTTGAGATATCAGTGTTCGACATGCTGAAGTTCAACTGTATAGTTTTAATTTTTGACAACAAGAAGTATATTTCTCATAAAAAAATTGAGTTTTCCTAATTTGATTTTCAGATTTTTACTTAGATCTGCCATTCATCCAATTATATTTTGTATAACACATGGTAATTGCTAGTGGTTGCAAGTTCAAGTGCAAATAAAATTGCTGGAACAGTAACAGTTTCATCAACAAACCTGCAATTCCCAAATGTGTTATTGCATTACAGTGACTCTATACCATTTGAATTGACCAGTACATTTAGCCCTGCTTATAAGGCTCTTTTGAAAGAGATTGCTAATCACTTGTGAGAAATTAATGCACATGCATTATGCATAAGCAGTTGTTTGTTTTTTGCAGGCTTCATTTTATTTGAATTAATATGCTTCTTTAAAAAAAGTCTATCAGATTTCATGTTCTACTTAAATTTGAAAGAAGTAAATTAATGATTATATTCTAGAAAGATTAACTTGTACATATAGGTATGGCACATCCTGGATACATGTATAAAGGAGTCTTTTTTTTTTTGGTTTGTACCATATACTTCCAGCTTTTGTTGTGCCGTTGGTCTTCTATGTATAGGGTGATTGATCTTTAACAGGTTTGTCTCTCTACCTACTGGGTTGTTAGGCCCTGTAGACAGAATACAGATAGGTCTAGATAGGTGGTATACACTGCTTAAAATCAAGATAACATTCAGCACCCACCAACAGTCAGAGGTACAGTTCAGCTTTGATGGAGGTTTCCATTGTTTCCTCATTGTCTCGGACAATAACAGACTATGTGTGTTTTATAGGTCTTTGTCTTGATGTAAGAACAGAACCTTTGATCTTGCTATTTAATTGAGTTAGGTCTGAATGCAAATGGTATTGTGTATTGGGGAATAACAGTTGACTTGAAGAATGGAATTTGGTCAAATATGGTTAAACAGATAATGAATAAAAGGCGTAGGCTGAAAAAATTCCTCAAATTAAATATGCATGCTTCTGTTGTTTCATTATTATATTTTTATGCTTATTTCTGGAGTCTTTGGTATATGGGTGACAACTCCAGTACCTGTTATAACAACTTGCACAATTTTCAAAAATGATGATTGCATGATATACAGAAGAAATATTGAGAACATAAAAAAAGCACATGATAAACTTGTGTAATAATTACAGTAAGTTGAATATATTTGATGATTTAAGAAATGAATGTAATATTTTTTTCTTTGACTGACGTATCAAAGAAAAAATTTGGAAGGAAAACGTCATCAATGCGCGTAGCGCATTGATGAAAACGTTTTCTGTCCAAATTTTTTCTTTGATACGTCGGTCAAAGAAAAAAATATTACTTTCATTTCTTATCATTTAATTATGATTTTAAAATAATAAAATGAAACTTTCCTTCAGTTTACTATAAAATTTACGCATCAAAAACAGTGCGTAGGAATAAATCACAACAATGTTGCTGAAATTCAAAATGGCTAGGCTATAGGCCTAACGAAGAAACAACGTTCTCAAATATTGTCGTGTCACTACCAACCTTTTCTAATAATAATTAACAGTACTTTAACACAAAAAACTTACCTGTTGTGTTATTAATTTTTTGCTATATCCCAATGGGTATATTTTCCCGGTAAGCTATCTGGGTTCGTAAATTTAAAGGGATGCTACTCGGATATCCTAACAACTCTATCGATCTATAGGTCACAGAAATTTTGGATTTCATTTGCGCATCTCTTCATCTGAATTTTAAACCGAACATATAAATATGTATCACAACCTGTCCATGCTGTAAGATCTGAAAGAGTCTGTTGCCTACTTTTAACATTGAAAGAATTCCGTCCTCATTCATGCAGCGCCCTTTATGCCGTGTCGTTTTTCTCGAACATTCGATTCCTAAGAATTAACAGATTAACGGCATTTCCCCGCTTTGGTAGCATAAAAACATTTCTTCACAGTTCTATTGTTCATACCAGTTATCTCAAAGTCAAACATTTAACATAGGTATGCTGATTTCTTTCCTTCTTTCCCATTACAGTATTGTTGTCATGCAGACGATCTGATTTGTTTAGCAAAGGGGGATAATTCAAAAAGAAACGAAAGTAGACGATAAGTCAGGAACGTAATGGACAAGTTTCGAAATTCAGGAATATATCTATTAGAGAAAAGGTATTCAATTGTTCCTTCATGAACTTCTGGAAGCGGGAAATATACATGTAAAGACAGCGAAAGTAGTTCCGCCTGCTAAGTGCAAGCGAACTACAAATTCTATTGATGCAGTTATCAAAAGAATTTTTTATCCAATCAGAATCAATTATTTTATAGAAATTAAATGATTAGCAACTTTTTTATTGACTGCAGCATGAGAAAACTGTACTAGTGAACAAAAGTACAGTTCATAATCCAGATTTGGAATAAAAAGTGGTTGATGGGTAAAAAATAGGGTCGGTTAGGTTACCGGAAACACACATATTTTTTTTTAGCCTTAAGAAAGGTAAGGACATAATGAAGACATTATTACAATAGGTGTATTTGGAACCCATGCAGTTGAGTTTATAAGAAGTTAATGACAATGTTTGTAATGATTGTGTTATAAATAGTAAATTTAAAATTGATCATGTACTCCTGTAATTAGTTGACCAAATTTGTTGAGTTTTAATGCACAGTATCTCTCTTGTCAAACATTAGATATTAAACTTGTTTCAGATTGATTTCCGCAAATTTTGCAGTAACCTCACATTTATTCTTATGACCTTTGGTGAATAAAATGCAAGCAAATCATCCAATTTTGTAAAATTTTGTCATTTGCATCAACCACAGCTATACATACAAAAATGTTCTATTGAAGAAGACCTCAAAGCTGGTTTTGTATCTGTTTATATTATATAAATCGGACTTTGAATACCCAGAGTGTGCCATTTGAAATCCTAAGGAACTACTTTTGAGAGTTATAGGCAGACAGAAGAACACACTTATAGACTATAACAAGATCTGAAATATGGATGCACCCCCCCCCCCCCCCCCCCCAAGAAAAAAAGAAAAAGAAAGATACCTTATAACATATGATGAGGTGAACATAAAAGGCAAAGGAAAAAAAAGGAGGCAAAGTAAAATTAAAAATTTTTATTTAGTAATTCTGTGTTCCTAAGGAATCCTTAGTTTTACATGGGGATATGTTGGAGGTATAGTGTAAATTATTGCAGACTCCTAGTAAGCTTAAAGATTACATAAACATACATAAGTCTTTTACCCAAGAACAGTAGAAAATTTTTAAAATCATTTCAAAATGCTGTAAATTATTCTATCATGCAGTTTCCCCTTTTAAAGAAAAAGAGAAACTTTGAGTTGTTTTTTTAAGATGCAAAATTCAACTTAAGAAGTTCAAATACATGAACACCTATTTGCCCAATTTTGACTCTGAAAAGAAAAACAGTAAAGCTTCAGATTCATAAGATACTTCTTTCTGATTTTGTAATTACACATACACTGTACCTTTCTTTTGATATGAATTCAAAATTATTTATTTAAAGGAGGGAAGGGCTGGCCAGGGCATCAATTTAGATGTTAGCTGAAAGCAGTGATAAAAAAAGATATATTTTATCTAAAATTCAGCAAATTTTATTGACTTTGCATGATTTTCATAGTTTTATAAATCAAAGGGATCGAGATGCCATATATCATTAATTATGCCTTTGTGAAAGAGACATTATTCTGCTTAACCATGTTAACATAATGTTTTTATTGAAAAACAAATTGCACTTAAATTCAAATAGGAGCACCTGTATTTTAAAAAGTCTAGATAATTTTGGGGAGGTTGATATTTAGTTGTTTTTATGCCCCCGTAATCGAAGATTCGGGGGCATATAGTTTTTGCCCTGTCCGTCCGTCTGTCTGTCTGTCTGTCTATCTGTTTGTACACAAAAACTTTAACCTTGCCCATAACTTTTGATTGGTTGGAGCTATGACTTTCATATTTCACATGTGTATTCCTTGTGACAAGACCTTTCTTTGGGTACCATAAAATTTGACCTTTTGACCTTGACCTTTGAGTTTGACCCACTTTTGCTAAATTTTTTTTCAGACTTTAACCTTGGCCATAACTTTTGAATAGTTGGTGCTAGGGCTTTCAAACTTCACATGTGTGTACCTTATGACAAGACCTTCCTTCGGATCCAACAACTTTGACCCTTTGACCTTGACCTTGAAGTTTGACCTACTTTTGAAAAAACTTTAACCTTGGCCATAACTTTTGAACAGTTGGTGACAGGGCTTTCATACTTCACATGTGTAATTCTTGTGACAAGACCTTCCTTTGGATACTAACAACTTTGACCTTGACCTTGGAGTTTGACCTACTTTTGCAAAACTTTAACCTTGGCCATAACTTTTGGACGATTAGTGCTAGGGCTTTCATACTTCCCATATATAATCCTTGTGCCAAGGCCTTCCTTTGGATACCAACAACTTTGACCCTTTGACCTTGACCTTGGAGTTTAACCTACTTTTGCAAAACTTTAACCTTGGCCATAACTTTTGAACGGTTGGAGCTATGACTTTCATATTTCACATGTGTATTCCTTGTGACAAGACCTTTCTTTGGGTACCATAAAATTTGACCTTTTGACCTTGACCTTTGAGTTTGACCCACTTTTGCTAATTTTTTTTCAGACTTTAACCTTGGCCATAACTTTTGAATAGTTGGTGCTAGGGCTTTCAAACTTCACATGTGTGTACCTTATGACAAGACCTTCCTTCGGATCCAACAACTTTGACCCTTTGACCTTGACCTTGAAGTTTGACCTACTTTTGAAAAAACTTTAACCTTGGCCATAACTTTTGAACAGTTGGTGACAGGGCTTTCATACTTCACATGTGTAATTCTTGTGACAAGACCTTCCTTTGGATACTAACAACTTTGACCTTGACCTTGGAGTTTGACCTACTTTTGCAAAACTTTAACCTTGGCCATAACTTTTGGACGATTAGTGCTAGGGCTTTCATACTTCCCATATATAATCCTTGTGGCAAGGCCTTCCTTTGGATACCAACAACTTTGACCCTTTGACCTTGACCTTGGAGTTTAACCTACTTTTGCAAAACTTTAACCTTGGCCATAACTTTTGAACGGTTCGTGCTAGGGCTTTCATTCTTCACATATGTAATCCTTGTAACATTAAACCTTCCTTTAGATGCCAACAACTTTGACCCTTTGACCTTGACCTTGGAGTTTGACCTACTTTTGCAAAACTTTAACCTTGGCCATAACTTTTGAACGGTAAGTGCTAGGGTTTTCATACTTCACAAAGACCTTACTTTGGATACCAACAACTTTGACCCTTTGACCTTGAAATTTGACCTTCTTTTGAAAGACTTTAACCTTGGCCATTACATTTGAACAGTTGGTGCTAGGGCTTTCATATTTCACATGTGTATTTCTTGTGAGAAGGCCTTTCTTTGGGCACCATTAATTTTGACCATTTGAACTTGACCTTGATGTTTGACTCACTTTTGAAAAACTTTATAACCTTTACCATATCTATTCAATGGTTGCTGCTAGGGTTTTCATATTTTACAGATATATTCCTCGAAACAAGACCTTGCTTTGGGTCCCAACATATTTGATTTGCATTTGAGAAAGTTTAACCTTTGTTATGAGTTGCCATACGGGGGCATCAGTGTTTCACAAACACATCTTGTTTTGTTTTGTTTTGTTTTTTTCATCAATATTTCTTTTTTTTTTGTCATTGACTTTTAATTTAATTTTAACAAAGCTCTTAAAAGATTTTCTTAAAGAATTATTTTTGTTTTAATATGCATAATAAATGATAAAAAACATACATGTATTAATTCTTTGGAATGATGAATGATCAAAATGTATATAAGAAAGTTGCAATAAAAACACTCTGCAAGCAATAATACCCTGAATTTGAAGGAAATGCTTAACTTTGCTTGTGACCTCATTCTTTGTTTCCTGTGTTACCAGAATACAAAAAACTGCCAGTATCTGCTGCATTCTCCTGCTTGATAACTAATGAGAAAGAAATGTGAACTTGATTTTTGTTGATGATTTAGGGCCACATGTTTTGTTTCATGCAGAAATAGGAGGATGCAAGGGTTATCTGTCAGTTGAGTTACAGTAATACTTTTATCTCTATTAGTTACCTGGCAATTACTTCTGTAACTGGGGTCTGGGATGGTAATGTGACTAAATTACTGTATTATAAAAAAAATTACAATTATACCTGATATCACAGGGTAGTTTGTTGGGTCTGCCATTTCTGTAAATGGTGAACAGAATTAAATTGTTCACTTAGATACAGAAGATTTAAACAGCAAACACCTCCAAATAATTTTAAAGTTTTAATAAATGATTAAAAGTGAACAAACCTATGCCAAACAAGTTTTTGGGCACCAGAGATAATACGGTATATGGGTATCCATATGGTATAATGCCTGTGTATTTTGTATCATCGAATGGTATCATCACTTCAGATGAGTCTGGATACAGAAGATTGATAGAAAACCTATAATAAAGAAAGTAAAACTAAGAATGTATATGAAATTGGCAGTTTTATACCACTTTAGGCTGTGTCAAAAGGTTAAGTTGTTTAAAAGCCCATTGTTGTCGTAGACACAAATCATGCAAAAAAATTTCAGTCTTCTACATGTTGTTTGTAGATAGATGAATTATATTTATGACACTGGAACATGAAAACTCCATTTATTCTGAAGCAAAGTTACCTAACCTTGGATTTTTATAAATTAAAAAAAGAATACCAGGTGAAGGATACATGAATTTGTTCATAGAAGTTCACATAATAAATTAGACCTATGAATAAAAAAAAAAATCATCAGAAAATATTTATGTTATTTAGAACCTGATACATCATTACATTTCAAAGCCTTTGAAAGAAATTATATATTCATACAGAATGTTATTTAGTTTTCAAAATAGAATTTAATTGCTTGGAGAAGGAAGGAATTATTATTCAGATTTATTTTTTTGGTGCACAGAAAATTAATAATTCATTGTATTTATTAGTTTGCTTTGTCTTGAATACTAGCATTTGTCTGGGATTTTGCATAGATAATGACACAAAAACTGTATTTGCCCCAATAAATGCCATGATGACTAAAAATGTTTTAAAAGAATATTATAGGGGTTTATTCCCAGCTAGCCAAACATTTTGGGTTATCCATTATTTTTAGATAGCTTTACAGGCGCGGATCCAGGAATTGAAGTTGGGGGGGGGCGCAGAAGGTAGGCAGGGGGTCTGGGGGCTGCCTTGAGGCCCCCAGTGGGTCCACGGTGAAGCCCTGGTGGGGGCCCAGAGGGTGAAGCCCCCGGAAGTTCCTGGATTCTAGAGATTCTGTAGGGTAAAAATGAGGTCTACCAAGTAGACAAATTTCACATTTTCTTGACGAAACTATAATTTACACTAACTTTGTCAGTTTGGGGGGGGGGGGGGGGGGGGGCACGCGCCGGGTGCGCCCCCCTTAAATCCGCCACTGGCTTTAAGAAAATTTATGCTTGTTAGGGATAAAAGATGGTTCAAAAAATGTAGCAGAACTCATAGCTTTCTAAATAAAATTGTCAGATGTACACAAAGGTATGATATAAATATCAAGGTATCTTAATTCTGATTTCATTCAAGTATTGTAATTGCTATTGCTTCAGATATTTTATTTGCTAATGGTTACAAAAGAAATGGTATTCCAGGAATTAAAGTTGGGGGGGGGGGGAGCTGATTAGGGAGTAGCTCATGGGGCTACCCCCTGGAAGCTCCTGTATTCTGTAGATTTATTAGGGCAAAAATGAAATCTTATTAAACTTTTTTGCTATTTTTTTTAATCAAAATTAATGATTTAGGATTAATAAGCAAATTCAGAGAATTGTGGTCCCACACTTTTGGGGTATTATTGTTTGGGATGCATTTATTTATGGCATACCATAATTGTCTTGTCTGTCCATCATACAAAAAAGATTTAAAATTTTGGCATTAATAGAAGTTTGGGCCACGAGTAAAAGTTTCTGAAAAGTGAATGAAACTTCAAGGTCATGAGGTCAGATATCATAATTCCAAAAGGTCTGTTACCATGGTTACAAGTGAAGTAATGCACATGTGAAAAAAATATCAAAGCCCTGTCTCTTCTGGTGCAAAAGTTATGGCCAAAGTTAAACTTTTGAAAAATAGGTCAAACTTCTAGGTCAAGGTCATGGGGTAAAAAATTATATTTAGTTTCTGAGAAGTGATGTCACAGATAATGTACATGTAAAATATGAAAGCTCCACTTTCTCTCATTCAAAAGTTAAGATTAAACTTCAAGGTCATTAGGCCAAAATCATAATACATTTGGAAAGGTCTGGTCTCAGGTAATGTACATGTGAAATATGAAAGCCCTTTCATTTTTGACTAAAAAGATATAGCCAAGGTTTAAGTTTTTGTGACTGACAGATGGACAGCTAGACAGACAGATGAATGAGATTTGATGTCCCCTCGCTTTTGCAAGAGTGGGGGACAATATAAATAATACAAATACTTTAAGGTCTGAGGTCAAAGAGTAGGAATCAATCCCTCAGAACCCCCTGCCATGCAGGAATGTAGAAATAAAACCATTTATTTACACCCCTTTATTTGATAATTCATCCCCCCATAGCAAATAAAGTTTTGGGGGTGTATAGGAATCGCCTTGTCTATCTGTCCATGCAATCTTGTCTGGTTGGAACTTTGTAGTGGAAAATCAATAGAAGCTCATACATGTACAAATATTGTTTATGACATGAGAAAATGTTATGACCTTGACCCAAAATCATTCCTGCAAGTACAAGGTAACTGGCAAAAAAAGTATAAAATCCTTTTCTGGGCTATAACTATGTAATGGAAAATCATTGGAAGCTCTGACACTTGAGTATATCATGACCTTGACCCAAGATCATTCTGGTAAGTTCAAGGTCACAAGTTATTGTAAGGGCTATAACTACTTTGTTGTGGAGAATCATTGGAAGCTCATACTTAGTACAAATATTGATTAAGACATGAGGGCGTGTCATGACTTTGAACCAAAGTCATTCCTGCAAGTACAAGGTCACTGGCAGAAAAAGTATAAAATTTTTATTCAGGCTTTAACTTTGTAATGGAGAATCATTGGAAGCTCATACTTAATACAAATATTGTTTATGACCTCAGGGTGTATCATGACCTTAAACCTAAACATAACCAAAACAAAGACTTTGTGATTATACTCGATAAAGGGGGTACCCATTTTGTTAATGCAACTCCTCCTAAACCCCAGAATGAAATTCAATGGAACTTTTTCACAGAATCTCATTAAATTTACATACTGCCAAGAAATGCACTTTACCATTATACTCACGGGGGTTGGGGGGGGGGGGGGTTGGGGGGGGTTTAATAGGTGATTAAAGGAGCACTTATTATGCACCGCCATGAATATGGCCGGGGCATATAGTGTTTGTCATGTCCGTCTTCCGTCTGCCCTTCTGTCACACTTTGCGTTTAGCTCTGTTCAAAGCTAAGTTTCAAAGAAACTATCCAAGATATTTTTATCAAACTTCATATGCTGATAGATATTGATGAGAGCTATGCAACTGCATCAACATTTTTTGACCTTGACCTTTCCTTTGACTTTGACCTCACTTTTCTTAAATTAGTGTTTAGCTCAGTTTTAAAGATACCATTCAAGATAGTGTTATCAAACTTCATATGCTTATACATACTGATGAGAGCTATTCAACTGCATCAGCATTTTTTGACCTTGACCATTCCTTTGACCTTGACCTCTTTCTTCTTAAATTAGTGTCAAACTTCATATGCTGATACATACTGATGAAAGCTATTCAACTGCATCAATATTTTTTGACCTTGACTTTCCTTTGACCTTGACCTCACTTTTCTCAATTTGTCTTTAACTCAGTTTTAAAGAAAACATTCATGAAAATATTTTTATCAAACTTCATATGCTAATACATACTGATGTAACCTTTTCAACTGCATCAACATTTTTTGACCTTGACCTTTCCTTTGACCTTAATTTCATTTATTTTAAATTAGTGTTTAGCTCAGTTTTAAATAAACCATTCAAAATATTTTTATCAAACTTAAATATGCTGATACGTAAATGTGAGAACTTTTCAACTGCATCAGAAACATTTGACCTTGAACTTTCCTGTGACCTTGACCTCAGTTTTCTTAGATTTGCATTTTGCTTAATTTTAAAGAAACCATTTAAGATATATTTATATAAGTTTATGCACTTATACATAATTTGGTTAGAATTTATCATCTATATCTAACTTTTTAGATTTCAATTTCAATTTTAAAGAAACTTTTCAAGATATTCTCATCAAATTTTATACACTAATACAATTTTTCATGTTGCATTACTAATATACCCTCGGCAGGACATTCATGTCCGATGGACATATTTCTAGTTTGTGTATTAGATTATTATCTATTATTAGGTAGTGGGGAGGCATATAGTAGGTGAATACAAAAAAGATCTTTTAAATACAGACCAGTACACTTAAGATTTTGGGAAGGGCATGTAAACACCCCCCCCCCCCCCCCAAAAAAAATGAAACTGATGATTATTAAAATGTTAGAAATTTTATAAGAATGCTTATATATTGACAGATGGACATTCTCTTAAGTAATAAATTCCTTTCCTTGGAAAGTTATTTGGAAGAAAAAATGTGTGTCACTTTGGTTATTCTCCAGAACAATTATGTACCACTAATTGTATAGGTATGCACATTAACTGGCTTCAAAATATTTATTACCTAATTGTGTATTAAGTTTTGTATTTATATGTGTCAGGTAAAAATGTTGCTTTCAAGGTTTGTTAATAAAAATGTGACGACCAGAAAGTTTTCAGTGCCATGTATATTTACACAGTAGTTTGTACCCGGATTCTTAGAAAGACTCTTTTGTTTTATCTTATGGTTGTCATAGCCTTGACCTAATGTAAGTTTGAATGTGCTCAAGATCAAATTCACAGAGGTGGTAAACATTTGTGATTAAAACTTCAAATCTTAGGGCTGGTCATAACACTAAAGATCAATTTTCAGCTAATACAACATGCCCTTTCTGTCTGTCGTTTGTTGTCTGTATAACTTTTCATATTTTTGACTTCTTCTCCAGAACCATTGGGCAATTTTCAACCGACTTTCTACAAATCATCCTTGGGTGAAGGGGATTTAAGTCTGTTCACTGGAAGTGCCATGCCCTCTTTCAAGGGGAGATAATTAAGAATTCACAAAAATTTGGGGCATCATTTAAAAATGTTCTTCACAAGAACTGCTGGGCCAGAAAAGATGAAACTTATCTGAAAGCTTCATTTAATACATACTGTAGATTAAAATTTGTTCATATCATGACCCCCCTGGATAGGGCCAGGCCACAACAGAGGATCAAAGTTCTACATAGGAATATTTAGGAAATATCTTTAAAAATCTTCTGCTCAAGAACAGCAAAGCGATTATAAGTCATATTAATACAGAAGCATTTTCAGGTTGTGTAAATTCAAGTTTGTTCAAATTATGACTCCCTGGGGTAGGGCAGGGCCACATTAGGGGATCAAATTTTTACATACGAATATATATATGTAGGAAATATCTTTAAAAATCTTTTGGAGAACAGCAAAACCATTATAAGTGATATTAAGAATCCTCAGGTATTGTAGATTTAAGTTTGTTCAAATCATGGGTGTAGGGTGGTGCAGAAATGGGATATCAAAGTTTAAAATAGGAATAGATATAGAAGGTTTTAAAATCTTTTTCCAAGGAACAGCAAAGCCATGATAAGTCATATCTATATGGAAGCATGACCCCCCGGGAGTAGGATGGGGCTACATACATCTTAGATGATAACTTAAGTTTTCTTTTAGCTTTTGCGATGAAACTTAGGTCATGAATTTCTTTCACCGAAAAGACCCTATATATTGACTTTAAGGCCAAAAGCTGAAAGTTCAGGGTTAACATTTTCTTTCTTTCTCCATCTGCATATTTTTTCCAGTTCTTCCACCCTCTTCTTTTTCCCTTTAGCTGGATTCTATAATAAAAAATAATGATCCAAGTGTACTAAAACAAAATTTTTCTTTTGTGATAACTAACAATTGAAAAAAAAAAAATTTGGTGACCTGGAAATGACCTTGACAAAAAAAAAAATCAAGGCTGCTGGCAACTACTCTTTATTTTATTATCATTATAATGTTTCACAAACTTTTACAAACATGAACTCCATGCAGACAGCACAACATGTCTGACTGTTCATAAGCTGGAAAATTTACTTATATTTAACTAAAACTTTATTTAACTAAAATATAATTTTAGCTTTCTCAGAGGAAGCAATTTTTTTAATGAGATTTTATTAAATTAGCATTTTTGAGTGTGTATATGGTATGACTGAGAAATAATATGAATGTAAAAATCGTAAATCTTACACATTGGTTGTATATGATTAAGAAATTGTAAATCATACATATTTTGCGTATTTAACAGTCCTTGTCAACAGCATTAGTTTATGTTCAAACACATGTGTTGATGTGTGATGTAAACATTCAGCTGTTGTAAATTTTTCTTCATTACTACTGTAAGGAATTTGAAAAAGGTGTAAATGTTGGTAAAATTTTGATGCCATCTTGAACAAAGGCTGAACAATTTTGAGAAATGGAACATTACTGTTTAATTATCAGAATATATTTATTCTTTTCTTAGGAGTGATGGTGGTAAGAGGGAAAGTAAGCCATAATGTCAAGCGAGGGCCGTGAATCCAGCAATGGGATAGCTTCTAAATCTGACAGTCCAGAAATCAAGAAATCCAAAGATGCTGCATCCGGGCCTGATGGTAAGTCAGATATTGAGATTTGGGATAGAGTTGGGGGTGGGTGGGTGTGCAGTACAATAGAATAAAGTGAAGGGAGGCATTTGATTTTAAAGTGTGGACTCAAATAATGCAAAGTAAATTTTATCACCATTTCCAACATTTTCATGTGAAGATTTTGTGAAAATGAAGAAATGAAAAGAATAATGAATTATTACCATAAATCAAAATATTTTTTCAAAATATTTCATGTGGGGGCTGTTTCTGCAATTTTTCTCTCATCACAAACTTACAAAGATAAGTTCTACACAAACATTTCACATATACAGAATATGGATTATTCAAATGGAGGTGATACCCTGTAAATTAGTTCAAAAAGCATAATTTTGATAAGATAGAGGGAAAAAAAACCCCAGATGTATGGGAAGTTGTAAAGAAAAACATAAAACTACACCTACTCATAAAAGATACACACAACTTGAGCACATATGCATGCAGGTTCTAAAAGCTGGGCAATTAAAGGCTTAGAATTTTTTATTTTTTCTAAAATTTTGATTTATAACCAACAAAGTTTGAAAGATTTTTATCATTAGGTATTTTTAATTGTGAAGGTATCTCAATTTACAAAGGTGTTATACAAAAGTATAAGCTTTCTCCTTTTGTAGGCCAGTAATAAGGGCTTCAGTTGAAGTTTAATTGCCATAAACTGGCTTGAAAACATGGGTAATATGATAATGTTGGATTCACTGTGGAGAAACATGTGACCTATCCCTTTATCCTATCTTGATTGAAATTTGATGCTTTATAATGAATTCCAAGTTTTACTGTTCAAGGCCATTATTAAATGCAAGTAAAATTTATGGTCTTGGTCTACATTTTGTATAAAATTTAAGGAAAGTAAGGAGTTTTAATTTTAGAGCAATTTTTATTTGAAATTGATATTTCTCAAGTTTTATCAGTCTGATTTTGTAGTCATCATCAAAGTTAATAGTTGTGTGTGTTAAGACCAATGGGCCTTATATTTTTAGCTCTACTGGTCAGAGACCAGAAGAGCTTATACAATGTATAAGATGTACATCCATCCGTCTGTCTATCTGTCTGTTTTATTTGAAACAATTTTTCAAAATGCTACTCCTCCTACAGTTTTACTCCTATTTCAATATAAATTGTTACACAAGTCGACTTCTTGAAATACATAATTCTGAATATTGGTTTTTGATTTTGATTATCAGTGTTGCCATGGCTACTAAAAATAGAATTTTTTGTGAAATTCTTTCAAAATGCTACTTCTCCTACTGTTCTTGTCTGATTTCAATAAAACTTTCTACACAAGTTGAGTACACCAAGATATATTTTTCTTATTATTGGTTTTTGATTTCAATGAACAGTATTGCCATGGTTTATAAAAATAGAAAATTTCCTATGAAATTCTTTCAAAAGCCTACTCTTTTTACATATTACATATTTGATCTGATTTCGATGTACTTTTTACAAAAGTAGACTACACTGAGGTAAATAATTCTGTGCATTGATTTTTGATTTTGATGAGTGGCTTTAATTGCCATGGTTACTAAAAATCAAAATGTCTTTGAAATTCTTTCAAAAGGGTACTCAACCAACAGATTTAGTTGGATTCAATAAAACTTGTCACAAAGAGATGAAACCAAGGATCATTATTCTTTTTATATATTGCTGTCATCATGGTTTCAAGTCCAAGGGCTAGTTCCTTTCTCTTTCTTTGTTAAAAGTACAAACCAGTAGAGCTACAGTCTCATGAGAGACTTTTTGTTTGTAATGTATCCCAAAATTTGCCTGATTGAGAAGTCTCAAGTTCTCAAATTTAAAAAATGAAGGCTTTCTCTAATTTTATTAGCCCCCCCCCCCCCCCCCCCCCCCCGTGATCAGCCTAGCTGTTCTTATATCCATCAGTCTGTTCACCCAATATCACTTGTCTGGAAATTTTCTCTCCCCTTATCCCAATCTGGCTAAAACTTTATCACTTTCATTTCATTTTCATCTACTTCACAAAAAAGAATCTTTGTATAATTAAAATCTTTGTCTGGAGCATATATTTTCTCTTCCTTTAGCCCTATTTTGTTCATTCACCCTTAGAGTGCTTCTTGGTAAAGGGTGTGCAATGATGTTAATTGAACCAAGGTTCTAGGTCAGAGGTCAAAGTCTATTTAAGAAATGAATTTAATTTTTGAAGATTCACGAGGACATGAACTACGACGCTTCACGCCGGCATATTTCATGAAGCGCTTCATGAAATATGCCGGCGTGAAGCGTTGTAGTTCATGTACCTCATGGATTTTCAAAAATTAAATTCATTTCTTATATTTACATATTATTTTTCTGATGATTTGCCACAAATTACGCCATTCAACTGTCATTTTTAAAGCAAAAAAGTTTGCACTATAGTTTTGACGTCAAGTAAGGTATTGTGACGTAACAATGGAGATATTCATGCCCATTCATGGTAGTTCATGAGGAAATGAACTGTACTCTATTTTGTAAAGAATCATAGGGGAAATTTATTGGAAATATAATATATTGTAAAAGATGTCTTTCAGTACTGTATCTATATACAGTGGCGCCTTGTTTATCCGGACGCCTCTGTCCCCAACAAAATCGTCCGGATAAATGAACTGTCTGGATAATTGAATCACATCTCAAAAAGCACTCTCTAAGCATGTATATATGCACATTCTTGTTTCAAATGTGACAGCAAAGAAAAAAAAATTAAATTATATTTTGGTTAATTGTTTTAAAAGCAGTAATTGATTAATGAAAAAATATATTAAAATGTAATTTACACAATGAAAAAAATGGATGGACAATTTTATGCCAAGACCTCCTTTTTAATTCGCCTTTTCTTTGGCATGTGACTTCATGGGTTGAGCAAATTTTGATCTACTGTTGTTTTATTTTGCCATATATTTTAATTATTGAAGCTCATATGATATGACAGAACTGTTCAGCATCATCATTGAAAATGTTCAAATATAAACTAACCCTGTATATTCCCCGTATATTCATTACACAGGGTTACTATAAAATCAACTGAACACTGCAAACTTACTCAAACAAAGTATTAAAAACATTCGTAAACACAGGCCATCTTCATGATTATCAATATTATTTTTTTATCTACAGACGCTAAGTTAGAATTTCGATCATTAAAAAATACCTTGAAAAACGTAATCAACTTCTGTACGTAATGCCAGTTTTAAATGTAATGGACGTTTGTAAACGGTAGTACATTAAATAGAGATATTTCTTCAATTATGTACCTTTCTATACTGTCTTGTGGGGAAAAAAGCGTTTCAAATACATTTATGTTTTTTTAGAAATGGAACATCGTATTTTAAACTAACGCAGTCGAAATGATAAAGAGCATTACGAAATCGCTCGTTATTTATTGTTCATTTTATATTTACAACTCTCCAAAATTCTCCTGAATTTACCGATGTATATACGGTTAGCAATATGATTTTGAACGGATTATTATTTAATCAATGCACACTGTCAGCTAAATTCTTTGAGCTTCATAATAAAGATAAATTGAATTGGGGTAAACACGCGCTAATTATAGACGCTATTGTTTGTAGGTCACAGGTAACCACCTCAAACTGACTGCATGGCCAATGTTTTTACAACAATTAACACGAATGCAAGATAAGTGTGAAAATGTCGTATCTTGAAAAATTACCGTCCGGATAAACGAGTCATTTTTCAATGAACTATTATGTTTTGTAGTAGAAATTGACCGTCCGGATACGGAACGCGAATTTCCGGATTAATGAGTCAAAATAACGTGGAAAAAATCGGTTACCAAAAAATATCGTCCGGATGGTGAAGCGTCCGGATAAATGGCGTCCGGATAAATGCGGCGCCACTGTACTTTTATTTCTTCTTTACACTGAGTAAAAAATTTTCCTCTCAAAATTGAGTACTTTGCAAGTCCCTTTCATCCTTATGTAGCTGGACCCTTTGGAATGAACACCATCTCAATGACATCTGAGTACTACAGTAAAACTCATTTAGTACGAACACGGATATTGCGAATTCATGGACATAGCGAAGTATTCTTGGATCCCCAGCTATATAGATTTAATGAATTCTTTATACGGATATAACGCATTACGGATATAGCGAAGTAATTTCACAGGTCCCAGTGACTTCGTTATAACAGAGTTTTACTGTTAATGCAGTTCAGGTCAGTGAGGACTTCAAATTTTATGAACTAAATCTTCAATTAGACTTGTGTACCATAAACAAAGTAAAAATAAAAAACATGATTTTAAAAAAAGTTAGAATGATAAAAAAGTTACCCAAGTCAATACAAAATATTTGTGCTCTGTGCTAACTGGTACATCGTTGATTAAATCATTTGATTACTCATATCAGGATTAAAAGGATTAGAGTGAAATTTGAAATTATGCAAATTAAAGATGGGGAGAATGCGACCAACAAATTGTAATTTTATACAGAATTTTATATTAAGACAAAAAGTGCATGGGTGAACAAAATGCACTAATCTTTTAAAACCCTTTCATTATTTGAAAAAAAATCATGGTACTCCGACAAGGAGTTGCAATATTCACAAGCTTTATTAGGCCAAAGATAAAATACTGGTATGTTTGTTTATGGTCATCCTAATTTTATGCACAAATATAATTTTATATATATTTTTTTTTAATGTAAAGTTGTCTCCAGTATGTTTTCCTTCAAGCATAATGGCCAGTTTTTAGGTTGTATGGTCACTTTAAAGTAGCTGTTTTTGGAGCTTTTGGGTATAGATCATTTTTTTTAAAAAGAGCCTATATAAAACTATTTCGAAGTTTTGCCTTAATGTTGAATTCGATTTAACAAATTTAATTTGTTTTTGGAATTCAGTTTGTTATAATAAATTTTGGAATTTATAAAACAAATTTAATCTGTTTTAACAAATTTTGGAATTTATGACAAAATCAACAAATTTGTTATAACAGATTAAATTCATTATAATGAATTCAAAAATT